GCTCGGATGGATTTGGAACGTCAAAGCAATTATATGATCGAGCAAATAATTTTGAAAAAGAGACAAATAGTGATATACAAAGAATAATAGATAACTTCATCAGACATTTATGTTTTGCTATTTCATTTTAATGATATAATGATATGGATAAAGTATATAAATAAATTGCCCGGAGAACAAAAAAAAGTTTCCGTTAAGAATAAATTCCTAATTTAGAGTGTGCTTAATGTCCAAGAGTTATCCTTCGTGCGTATATATGTCGTATATACAGTACGTGCGTACGTACGTAAGTACAGTATATGTATACACAGTTGTTATCATCTTTCTTTTTTTTATTTAGTAATACTGATACAGCATATTCGAATGCAGAGAGCAAATGCTATTCGTAACATGATTATTTTTGATGAGCACTCTAAATCTTGCATCTTACAAAAATATAAATATGCAGGCATATACCGAACCTCCTAGCTAACCCACAAAAAAATGTTCACCCTTATACTATTAACCAATTAAATACAGTATGATTTAGAGTGTGTTTAGAGTGTGAAGAATAGGTATGTTACACAAAAACACATATGAAATCCTATGCTATTTTCTTAAAATTCACACCACTAGTATCACACATATGAACACTTTTTAGTAGGAACTCTACCTAATACGGCATATACCCAGTGTAGTTGGAATGGATTTGGACAAAATTGAGGTTTAAAAAAATGTTAACGGCTCAAATTTATATTAAGATATCCTTTCCTTTCTCCATTTATTATGACTCCTCTGACAGCTCTTTCATACCATGACTAACAACCTCACCCCAATCTCTATCAATACCTGTGTAAGTTTGATTTCAAGCTTTGCTCAAATCATATCAGGCCGAGCTGAAATACTTCCATAGAAACTGATTTTCAGTTTGCAGCTAATGTCTCAAATCAATTTTGTTTTCTTTATGGTTTTATTCAGAAATCTTGTTTTTCCCAAAATTTTGTTCATTTAGAAGTTGTGTTCATTTATAAGTTTAGTTTATTGCAGCTCCATTCCTTTAAAAGTTTGTTTATTATTACTATTCTAAACTCATAAGCTTTAGGTAAGGACATATAACTATTTTAAATTCATAGGTATTTGCACGAAAAAACCAGACAAAGTCGGGTTAGCAGAAAAAACAGATGCTATCTTATCCGGAAAAAAACCCATCCCTTTAGATATGCTTTCATCAAGAAACCGCATCGTTACATAATCACTACGGTAAGTTCAACTATTGCAAATTGAAAATACAACGTTACTTCTTCATTACATTTTGCATTATTCATGCAATCAATCATAACCCAAATCTTCGATCAATTTACATTCCGTGTTCGATTTGTGACAAATGGCTGCCCGATACGAAAGTATCGGACAGCTACATTTGACTCGGAATAAACGCACCCCTTAAATATACATATTCATAAATAAAAGCAGATAACCAAAATTTGTCAAAATAATTCAAAATTACCGCGCATGCGCATCCCGAAATAACGCGCAGAGTCTCAAAATAACGCGCAGATGTGCGTTATTATGCACGGCAAGCAGCTTTATAATATTTTTTTAGAATTAATTAATGATATCAATGCCTCAACTTGTGCATTACTTTTGAGCTATAACAAAACATAGTTTATCAAGATGTAAATTTTGAACTTGAACTAGTAGTTTTAATAATATATATCTTTTAGGATATAGGAATTAATACAATGATTCCGTATATTCACCAAATAATGCCCATCGCGCGTTATTTTGGTACGAACGTTATTTCGGGACAACGATTGATGTGCGTTATATGAGGAATGGTCTGGAAAACCAGCCTTCGGCATTTTTGGTCGATTTTAGGATTTTCAATTCAAACTAGAATATCACAGATACAGATTATATGAGGAGGCGCATGTTATTCGCGAAAATACGATAAATAAACCTATCAGTTTAATGACTATAAAATTATAAATATAAAATTTAATTAAAGAATTTAATATCTTGGCTTAAATTATTGCAGAATAAAAATAAGTATTGAACATTTTATTAAAAAATATTTTTAATATAATTAAACGTACAAGTCGAAACGACAATTTGCATCAAGGTCTCGATACAAATAAAATCGGATTATTTTAGTTTGAAAAATTACAAAAGTGGATGTAAAAAAAACGCTCGATAAATGGCAAATATGAATAAATAAACAAAATAAATAATAATATTTAGTTAACCAGTGATTATCAATCAAAAATTCAGAGCATCTAAAAATCAGGAAAATCATCATCTTTCCATAAGATTGAAACATTTCTAATAGCAACATTATGTAGTCCTTTAAAAGTTTCTTCATAAGAACCATTTTTGAATGGTTTATCAAATGGATAACCCAAAGGCCTAGCATCAGGAATTCTATCAGCCCATTTTTCACCACCACATAAAACTGTACTTCCACATTGATCATAAAGTGGGACCATATCATTTGTACCATCCGAAATAAAAACTAACAATTTAAATTTTATTCCTTCACCTTTAATACCTCTAGGTAAAATCATATGATATGGCCATCCACAATCACAAAATGATTTTTCGGATTTATCTTGAGCGGTAAGGGCCAAATTTGCTTGTTTGATACTAGGAGTAATCTGAGTATCATCAAATTGACTTTCATTTTTTTGAGCTGGTTTACGAATTATTATAGACTTATCACATTCACGAACGATAACTGCTTTTTCAAGAGGTTGAAGAATTGCTTTAAATTTATCTAATTCTATCCAATGTACTCTGGAGTCGGCAAATTCTTCAGGAACAATGAATATTCGGAATGTAATAATTGAAACCTTTTCTCAAAATAAAATTATTTTAAAATAATATTATTTTGTGGGTTTATGGATGAACTAAAAAGTATATGCAAATATTCAAATTAAATACAATAATACTTACAATATCAGCTTCATTAGTGACTCGTAAAAAATATTGCCAATCTCTAGGAAATACATAAGAAATGTTTTCTTTGGTAAATAAATCTTCTCTCCATACGTACTCTCTATATTTCATTTTAGTATGGAACTCATTGGTAACAATGGAACTATAAGTAAAATCAACATCAAAATTACTACCACCAAAAGTTTTTGTTCCAAATTTACTCCATTTATCCTTCTGACCAGCTGGATAAACTTTGAGGAGTATATCTGTGAAAGATAGTATGATGTCAGTCTGACGAATAGTAACGTTTGGTGCATCGTGATGAAAATCGGGTGGCTCAAAACGTTCTTGCCATCGTAAAAGTAAATCATCGATATGACGATGCCATCTCCAAAATAACGGATCACGTATTCCGGCACGTGCACCAACAAGTACACTTGGAGGATCTAAAATTAATTAATTGTGAATTAAATAAAATCGAATAAAATTGAATGAATTATGACTTAAATAATTATGAAGAATAATTATTTAAAAAATCTTAAGATTAGATAAATACTTACAACCGATTGTATAAGGATGCATCATATAAGCAAACAATTCATGACCATAATTATGCAAATTTGTTTCTATATCGAGAGCCAGCGTAGCAGAACCAGAATCATCCAATTTTAATGGAGTCTGAAATTCTTCATTTGTTCCACCATCAATCCATTCAATTACTCGACCTAGTAAACGTTGCATTTCCACAACCGTCAAGATTTTCACTTTATTGTTCTTTACTCTAACTATTAATTTTGAAATTTTGAGATATAATTAATCCGAATTATCTTAATGAATTGGTTAAAAAAAATGTGAATAAAATAAAATAATATATATATAATCCAATATTACCAATATCACGAAATGATTGATTAGCAGGACGGGCCGGAAAATGAACTTTTTCATCATACCAATCTTGTACCAAGAATGGATGGGGATAAAATGGTTCGGGTATTGGTGTAAAATAGTCAGGTAAAGCTGTTACTTTTTCAATGCCGAGACAAAGGCGTTCCGCATCATATCTAATGAAAAAAAAATTAAAATTGATAATAAAAAATTTTAAATATATGGGGTTGAGTCAATAGAAATCAAGCAAATCGAAATTTTTTCAAAATTGGGATTTTTTAATAAAATAATAAAAGATGGTATGCTGATTATTTTTGATTATTAATGAAACTCTTTTAGCATAAGATTTTGAGTTATTGCTGCTTTAAGTTTTTTACGCAGTACATATGGGCTAATTTTTGTAATTAACAATAACTTTTAATCTATTGGTCTATTTTAAATGATTTTATTACCAAAATGATCTCTTCAATGAGGTGATTCTAACAAGCCCAAAATCATCAAAATCCAATCACAGGATTTTAAAATCACTATAGACCAAATAAAATCTAACTAATAAAATTAATTATTTAACCAATAAAATTGACTAAAACAAATGTTTGTGTAACCTATTTCATTGGTTTTTTAATATAAAAACCAATGAAATGGGTTACACCAATATTTGTTTTAGGCAATTTTATTGGTTAAATAATTAATTTTTATTAGTTAATTAAATTTTATTTGGTTTATAGTATTTTAAGATCCTGTAATTGGATTTTGATGATTTTGGGCTTGTTAGAATCACCTCATTGATGAGATCATTTTGGTAATAAAACCATTTAAAATAGACCAATAGATTAAAAGTTGCCCATATGATAGTTACACAAAAATTATAGATCGGATATCATTCCGGAAATGTAATTCGACAACGCTGGGTCAGCAAATCTATTAGATAAATTTACTTGACTCATTTTTTGTTGATCTTCCGATATAACTTATTGGATCGGATCAGTACGGATATTGTTTATTAGGTGCAACACAAAATTATGCTTGATTTCTATTGACTCACTTCCATATGTACAAAAAAAAAATTTTGAATATCTTTATGTATATTTATCTATCTTACCTTGCTAACAATTGCCTATGCGTGTGAATAAAATTTTCACCTTCTCGATTCCTTGGTATACTATCCGTAACAGTCATCATTACTATATGCCAATGTTCATGAAATTCATTTAATACCGGATCATTTCTCCACCAAAACATTTCATCCAATGCAGGATCATAAACATCTTTATCAGGCCATCCATTCGAATTAAATTTCACTGGTGGTGGATTTGGAAAAATATATCTTAATTTAGCCAAACTGAATGCTATTTCCAATATTACATCTTCTGCCTCTTCAGTCTCTTTTGTCGTTGATGAACTAGTGGTATTAACGATTGGACTTGTAGTTGACGTTGATTTGGTATTAACGGTTGGACTTTTAGTTGATGTTGATTTGGTATTAACGGTTGGACTTTTAGTTGATGTTGATGTGGTATTAATAGTTGGACTTTTAGTTGACGTTTCCTCACGCTTAAAGGTACGCTTTTCTTTTATAAATGAATGTGGGTTACGTTTACGAGGTTTTGGTGTATAGACTAAACCGTGATAAGATAATTCGTCTTCTAATGGATCAGCAGATCTTTTGATATATCGTTTATGTTCAGCTTCATATGTAAAAGTTCTCTTTGAATTATTTTCTAATATTTTTGCACAGTACTTTTAAAATATTAGCACTGAAAGATGATGTAAATTATCGTATTACTTATAAAGATCAGATCCTTACCGGAGAAGTTTTACTACCTTCTTTGTAACAAGCATCATAAGTTGAAAGCTCAAAAAGCTTGATCATCCTTTTCTATTTAAAGAATTTTTTATAAGGAGAGATACTCCCTTTTCTTTGCAATAGAATATAAGAATGAAAATATTAAAAAATATATAACTAAAATTAAGAATTAAGAATCGTAGATAAAAACATTGGAGAAAATTTTTTCTTAGGTGAGGATATGGGAATTCTCTTTTATCGTCTTTAGTGGCTTTGTTGTAAGAAACACGCTCATGGAAAATAGAAAAACCAAGGTATATATAAGTAGCTTCAAATAAACCTGAAATTTTATTTCTATGTTTTTCATTTGGCAACATTCATTGTTACATTTTGTCAACACATTTTCTAGGCATCATTAATTTATTGTGGCTGATCGTTCACTTGACAGTGAAAAAAAGGTAAAAATTGTTTATAAAATACATTTGATGTCATTTACGCAAGTTACCGAAAAGCAACCTTTTCTCTACAATTCGAAATTTATCGAGAAAATTCATTTAAAAAATTCGTAGAAAAAAAACATAAAGTCTACAAAATATAAGAATTCACGAAAAAGAAATTTTATTTATTTAAAATTTGGATGTTTACGACTGCGCCTCTGACACGAAAACTTAACCTGAATCTTGAAGGTATAACGAGGTCCCCGAAATATCTATAGATAGGTCGGTACCAGTTTGCTTATTTTCCATTTATAGTAATTAGTTTGCTTATTTTTGAGTTGTTTCTGCAGATCTTTCTATTTTTAGGGGTTGATTAAAGCAGGGTGCAGTCATATGATTTTGACTTTTTAATTAAAGTTAGAGTAAGGGTGAGTCGGAGGTTAGGATGAGGGCAGGTCATATAGTAAAATTGCCTCCCCGACATTTTTTGTTAATGCCCCAAGGTAGGTTTAGGCACTCGTTTCTTGTATTTTTTCATTTTTTCACTTTTTTTTGTCTTTTTTTCTTCGTCGGGCTGATCCGTGTTGATCAAAACAAACAAGCCGATTGGCCACATGTCACGTGATTGCACCCTGCTTTAAACGACCCCTATTTTTAGTAATTTTTTTGAAAAACCTTAGCTATTTGTAAGTATTTCGGGGTCCTGTATAACGTAATTGACTATTTATTTTTTGAATCTTTTTATATGCAGACAGAGTTTCAAGGCAGGTATGTGGCGCAAGTTATTTGTTTTGAGGCTTTGAAATAAAATGCACAAGTTTTCTTATTGCTATTTGTTTTGATAAGGGCTAGGACACTGTTCCCGAAACCCCACCAGGGGTCTAGACACTTTTGCAGTGACGTGACGATCTGCATGGATGTTATTGGTTGGGAACTGTGCCGTGCTTTGGCTGTGGCGCCGATTCTTCCAAGTCCGATTTGCCTTGCCTTGCCTTCCCCCCTTCACGTGCATTTACGCATTTTGATAAATTTTAAAATTGAAACGCGTTTATTCTTTCCTTAAACCAAGCGTGAAAATAATGAATCTATAAAGTGCTGAGAGATAAGTATAAAGCTTTTTCTTACCTCACAATCAATAGTATAGCACAAAAATTAATATCTGAGAAAGTTTTGTATACTTTACTTCACCAAAGAAAGCAAAACCTCCGACTTTAAATTTATTACGTTACCAAACTTGAGATTGAAAAATCTGATTAATAAATAATGTATAATAGATAATTAGTCGTATACGTGCCTGATTTATATGTCACTAATCAGATTTTTCAAGATCAAATCTGGCAAGATAATAAATTTAACTTTGGTTTGCGCCCAACGACACTTATTTCAGAAAGCCTATTACTTTTCAAGCACTGTTTAAGGTTTTTATTTCACTAAAATTATTAACAAATCACATTAAGAGCGATAATTGTACCGGTTACTGATCTTCTTTCCGGTTTTCTTAGCGTTTTCCAGTAAACTTTGTAAACTCTTCTGGGTCTTTCGAAATTGGTTAGTGTCGACTTCTTCTGGTTTTTCGGCAATTTGTTGATGAGCTTTCTTGTTGACTTTCGGCGCTCCTTGGTGATTTCTTGTGGACTTTCCCCTGGACTTTCGGCATTTTTTCGTGATTTCTTGTAGACTTTCTTTTTTCTTTTGGCGTTTTTTTGTGAACTTCATGTGGATTTTTCTGAGCTTTCGGATTTTTTGTGGACTTTCTTCTAGACTTTTTTCGGTGTTTCTTGATGACTTCATCTTTTCCCTGGACTTTCAGCGTTTGGTGGTGAAATTCTTGTGGATTTTCCTTGGACTTTCGGCATTTGGTGGTGAAATTCTTGTGGACTTTCCTCTAGGCTTTCGGCGTTTGGTGGTGAAATTCTTGTGAACTTTCGGCATTTCTTGGTGAACTTCGTGTGGATTCTCTTTGGGCTTTCGACGTTTGATAGTAGACTTTCCTCTGGACTTTCGAGGTTTGGTGAAATTCTTGTGGAATTTTCTCTGAACTTTTGGCGTTTGGTAGTAAGCCAAATACTATGAGATTTTTTTTATTTGAATTCTACGAATCTGTTGAATTCAATTAAAAAAAAATTCATCGAATTTGGCCTGGTGGTTATCGAGATATCTTCGTTCAAAGTTAAAAAAAAACTCAAAACGTCCATCAATATAGAAGCTGCGCCAAAAATTTTTCTCAAATTTTGAGCGAAGATATCTCAATAACTACCAAGCCAAATACGATGAACTTTTTTTATTTGAAATCTACAAATCTGTAGAATTCAAATAAAAAAATTCATTGAGTTTGGCCTGATAATTATCGAGATACCTTCACTCAAAGTTTGAGATAAATTTCAGCGCAGCTTCTATTTTTTTTAAAAAAAAACTTTGAGTGAAGCTATTTTGATAATTACTTGACAAAATTTGATGAATTTTTTTTTATTTGAACTCTACAGATTTGCAGAATTCAAATAAAAAAGTTCATCGTATTTGGCTTAGTGGTTGTCGAGATATTTTCGCTCAAAGTTTGAGGAAAAATTCGGTGCAGCTTCTATTTTTGATGGATGTTTTGAGTTTTTTAAAGCTTTGAACGAAGATATCTTGATAACTATCGATGAACTTTTTTATTTAAATTCTACGAATTCGTAGAATTCAAATAAAAAAAGTTTATCGAATTTGGCTTGGTAGTTGTCGAGATTTATTGGCTTAAAGTTTAAAAAAAATTTCTAGATTACGAATTATACAGATTCGTATAATTGCAAGACTTTAAGACTTTTTTCAAATTTAATTCCAAGATAATAATTTGAGTCTAAATGCCATTAATGAATTATTTGAAAGTGCTACCGAAATATTATGCATATCAAATAATTCATCATGCAAAATGCGAAACCTAAATTTATATACAGTACTATTGGAATCGAAAATAAAGCCGATTAGCTATCAAAAGTCAAAAGCATCACCAAGTCGAACGAAATCTAAAATAAAGTGCCATAAAAACATTATAAATGTTATATGTTTTGAAACAACTGAGAAATGATTCAATAGCAGTAAAAAAAATGCAATTATAAATGTAAAATCAGCATAAAAAATAAATTTCGTGAAAATAAAATAATTATTTAATTTCTAATTTTGATCTACATTCAAATTGGATTTGTGCAAGGAATAACTTTATTTGCCCCACCATGAATATATATATACGATTCTTCTAAATTTCAAGTATTACTTTAGAATCATCCAATTCTGACAGAATTGTCTCATAATTTTGCCACCCGCTTATAATCTTACAGAATTCTTCGACTTTAGACCTACCTTTTTGCTCCTTGTCCCAACATTGTTTCATCAGTACCACATAACAATGTGTGTTCTTGTTAATGGATAGTCGTAAATTTTTATAACATATTTTATTTGAAGCTCAATTTCGCTTAACATGAAATAGGCTTTCCATATAAAATTTCCCACATGGTTATACCAAATGAATAAATATCAGACGATGTAGTATATAGACCTCCATTCAAAACTTCAGGATCAATATAAGGTAAAACTCCACAAATCTGACCATTATTTTGTTTCAAATATTGAGTTGAAAGTCCTAAGTCTGCAATGTAAGCACTATATAAGTCAACTTGTAAAATATTACCATTTTGCAATCTCAGTGAATAAGTTCTTGAGAATGAATTTGTTGAAGATCAGAAGTAATACAATAATTTTTTTCCCAATCCATTTGTGCTATAGAATGAAGATTGCTACGCAAAGAACCTTTAGGCGCATATTGCATCACAAGAATATAATTGTTAGAAACATTATCTTCTGAAATTCCATAGCAACTTAAAAATGTTAGATTTTTATTGCCAATATCACAATATGCTTTTAATATAAGTTATTAGAACTTAAACTTATTAGCACATAAATAAAATTACCTCTTTCACAAATTCTTCGTTACACTCTTTTGAATTATGAAGCAATTTAAGTGCAACACCGCAATTACCGTTCTTAGCTCTTCACAAAGTATAATATACTGTTGCAAATCCACCTTTTCCTATAATTTTAATATTTTCGAATTCATTATAAGGAATCCAAGATAATGAATTTTTGCTTTCAACCAATATTTCTTTTAAATTTTCATCAATATCTTATTCGCCTATTTGTTAATAACAATGTTAATTATTATTAGTTTGAATTGTCTAACAAATATAATCAATAATAATTAATTACCTGAAATTTGTCTTTGTTCTCTAATAATTTATCTTAATTACTATTAAAAAGAAATATATAATTCGCACCCCAAGCGGCAGGACAAGAGTTCGAATCCCACTGGCGACAAAATTTGAATTTTACAGAATGTGTTATGGCAGACTATGTACAATCGAACAGATCGATGGATCTGTAGGCTTGGTTATACCAGCTTGTACTGGAAGGCTGTGGAACATTAGTGTGCCGAATGAGTTACATGAAACCCAAGTGATGTATCCGGGTAAATCTAGGTGATCAGGCACATGGAAGTCTGCTTGGCGAGTTCTGAATGGAGAGGTAGCAAAGATTTTTGACAGTACTATGTAAAGGATGATCATTGACAATCAGACCCAATAGCAAACTGAATAAGGATCAGGTGTTCAGCTAAGGCAT